TGATGGGGCAAAAAACAGATTAAATATAAATAGATTAGAGTATCAATCTACAAATGTTGTGCCTAAAATGTACAGTATTTTAGATGTTATCAGCATCTTGCAAAAATAAGTTCTAATAATAATCCTTGCATTTGATATAGCGCCTTATCACGACTTTTAGATTTTGCTGGCTCGATATGCTGTTTAGTGCTGCTCACTTTTCACATGAGCGATTTGGATTAAGAAGGTCCTTCAACCCATATGATCACAGCCTCCCAGAAAACCAACCCTACCATCTTCCCTTCACAGCTTCAAGCTATTTTAATAGTCCAGTATCCTGGCTTAAACGACCCTTACTGGCAACCTATTCCAGTTGTTATTTGCCCTCTGAATAAAGAAATACTTCTGGGTATCCATCCAGGAATTGTGCTTTGGAACGCAAACCCTAGATCCTCTTGTTCTACTTACTACCTCGATGCATCTTAAAATATTCTTCTGGATCTACCGTTTAAGTCTCATTTTAAAGTTTTCTACAGCTTTATAAGCTCTCCTTCTATGGCATCTCCTTTCAAGGCTGAAGAATTCTAGCTTGTCTACTCATTGCTCGTTCCTCTAACTTTATGGATAATCTTCATTGCTCTATTCTACACTGCCTATAGGGCTCAGCAGCCCCCTTATGTGGCAATGACCAGAAATGTTTGTTTGGAGAACTCCAAATCCAATCTGATCAGAGCACTATAGCTTGAGTCTGACCTCTGGGGATCTGAACTCAATTGATTTTTAATATAGCCAAGTAGCATATTCACCTGTTTGTTGCTGGCTCACACTATTTTGACATGGTGAATAATGAGTCAACTACAACAACAATTTGCATTTATATAACGCCCCTCACGCAGGATAACGTCCCAGAGTCCTTAGAATTAACACGCCTTAGATCTCTTTCAGCTTTCACCCCGGCAAGTTCTATCTATCCAACAGAGTATACACATTTCCTATTCTTAGTTCCTACATTAAACTTCACTTGGCATTTATCAGCTTACGTGCATACCTATCAAGTACGCTTTGTAAGACCATTGCTGCTTCTTCTGATTCCATTACTGTGTCATCTGCATATGTAACTACCTTACACACAATCTGCAAATGCAGGTCATTATTATTCAGAAGAACAGGAGGGACAACACAAGTACAGACAACTAGGAATTAATTAGAATATACAGCACAGAAACAGGCCATTCAGCCCAACTGGTCTATGCCGGTGTTTGCACTCCACATGAGCCAAATTTGAAGATTTTGTTTTAAAACCTTCCAGAAACTATGACCTATCATAATTCCATGAGGTAACCTTGACCTCACAAATCTTTTGAAAATAAGAAATAAACTTTCAATTCCAAGAATCACTAAAATGGAAACTTCCAAATTGAAATTATCAGCTGTACATCAGGTGAGAATGAGAGCTGTTCTTGTACATTGGTAGGCTTCTTTAACAAATCTAGGCACTGGCCCCACAGAGTGCTTTCAAAGGAAAATGTCGGCTAAATTAGTTTTGTGAAGTAGAAAAGAAATGCTATCGGGAACATAGATGTTTTATCAACCCTATAAGTGTTGAATTAAAAGAACTGGATATGTATCTGCTTCACAATAGTGTTGGACTGAATTCAGCAGAACAAATATGGTGCAGCTGCATTACGACACACTTCATTACAGGACCGATTTGTTTATGACTCAGATGAACAAGCTCTAATCAGCGTGAATACAGCCAGCTAGCTTGGTATCCATAGACTGATTGGTTCCTGCACATTGACTGGTTCGAAAGTTTACAAAGAACATACATCACGGAAATAAGCCACTTGGCCCAAGCAGTCCATGCCGGTGTTTATTCTCCACATGAGCCTCACCTATTCTTTACCCCCTCCCATACCCTTCTATTCTCCTCTCCTCATGTGAAGGTCTAGCCACAAAGATTTATAGGCAACGTTATTTTCTGAGCACGAGAACCGACTGTCACAATCTCATTATAAAACGAATTGGGATTTTATGGTTCCAGTCACCGCGTTATAACAAGACTCCACTGTACTCAACAACAATAAGATTACATTTGTATACCGCCTTTCACGTCGGGAGGACGTCCCAAGGCACTGGACAGAGTACTCAGAGCTTATGCAGAAACCAAACATTACTTCCTTCCCGTCTTAGCCTGGTGGTGTCATTCACTGTCAAGTTTTGAATCTGCAGTAAGTGTAGTCAGATTTAAGAGAGTTACAGCCTAGCAAACCTTTAAAGAGCATGCCCATTTTTCATATTCATAGTTTCAGCATCTCTAATGAAGTGCTTCGAAACATATCTGGGCTCTTTTAGGGCCCTATGAAAAGTAATGTTGGGAGGGTGAGGGGGAGATTCTTATTGTGTCTTGCATCCAGATTTCCTCTAGAATAGATTCATTGCCTTTTGGATGAGATCTCTTGCAGTGAAGGAACTACTTTCAAGATCTGAGTGATACATTTGACTAAAACAGTACTCTACCATCTGTTGAGATTCACCAATATATAACCCTTTGACTGGTAATTGAGAATCCCATTTCTTAGGAGGAAAAGGAAATCACTAATGACTTTCACTATAAGAGAGAAAGCGGGAAAAGTAAAATTAAGTTTATTCTACCAAGTAACAAAGGAATGAATCCAAGAAAAAAACACATCTCACCTTGAAAATTCATTTTCTAAATGAGTTGTACATCGTATTTCAACATCACTACCACAGCCCTCATCTTTTAATCTTAGCATTGCTCAGGAAAGATGATTTAAAAGAAAATCTAATCCTTCCTTTTCAAAATGTATAAGGTGTTTGGCCCAAAATTGACCTTGTCAAAGCCATAGATATTAGCACTCTCTTTCTGACAGTCTTCCAGAAGATTGCCTAAATCCAAGTTTCTTGGCTACATAAAAAGTGCTTTTTAACTTGTAAGCTTTGAAAAGTTTATCCTGAGATAAAACCTGAAATGTTCACAGCAGTGCATTAGCTTATACGGATGAATCTGTGTTCTGGTATTGAAACAGTATACAAAAACACTAGTATTACTACTTTCGCTGACCTAAGCTATTATTCAGAGTCTAGTGAAATAATTCCTATACAGAATAATCTAAATATACTGAAGAAATTCATGGTGGAAAACAGTGATTGGAAAACATCTAAATTATTACAACAACTTGCATTTATATAGCTCCCCTCACACAGAGTAGTGTTCCAGAGCATTTGACAGTGGCAGAGCACGACGCAGAGACGGGGAGAGGGGAGGTGACCGTAGGCACAGTCGAATACGAAGATTTTCAGGTGCAACCTGAAGATGTGGAAGGAAGGGGCAAGGCGGAGGGATAGAGGTTCCATTTATATAGCGCCCTTCACTGGAGGTAAGGTCCCGGAGCGCTTTACAGTGGTGGAGTCTGGCGCCACTGTAGGGAGAGTGAGGGGGGAAGTGACCGTAAGCATGATCAAAAAGGAAGGTCTTTAGGCGGCTTTGAATTTGGGGAGAGATGGGGCAAGACGAAGGACTGAGGGAGAGAGTTCCAGAGTTTCAGGGCGTAGTGGTTGAAGGAACGGCCACCCATGGTAGAGCAGAGGTGACGAGGGACAAACAGGAGACCGGAGCCACCTGAGTGGAGGCAACAGATGATAGGATAAGAAGGTAGAATAGGAAGGGAGGTGCAAGGGCATGAAGGGATTTGAAAGCAAATGAAAGGATCTTGAAATCGAGGATCTTGAAACAAAGAAGCAACGTACGACCCAGTAGTGAAATACTGTTAAATACTGCAACTGAAAATGTGAGCATCTACACAACTTAAAATTCCATTCAGCAATCATTTGAATGGTAATCTGATGCAAGATGGGGTTTGTTTATGTGTTTGATCTATGACATCTTCCTCATTAGGAGCCAAAAGTAGGAGTAATATAATAATAATAATCCTTCCATTTGATATAATGCTTTTCACGTCTTCTAGAAGTCTCAAAGCGCTTCACAGAATATACTGTAAAGTGAACTGATTGTATATTTGTGGGCGAAACGCGGCAGCCAATTGCGCACAGCAGTGTCCCCACAAACAGTCGTGGATTGAAGTGACTGAGCTACAGGATTCCTAATCAAAAAAAACAAGCTCTAGAAATTGAAAACTTTTTTTAAAAAATTCACAACAGCAAACAATCTTTAATTACTCAATGTAAAGCAATTTTTAACTTCTTAACATAAAATCACTGGTGAATTTTCACATCAGTGAGACCAACATATTGGTGTTCAGAATAAGACAATTATTTAATAAAAAAAGCACGAACCCGCAAAAGAGATCATTATGCAATGTTATCTGAGTCTTCTGCGAAAATCAAAACTTGTGGCACTGGGATGAGTTCTTGGGTAGGAGGAAGATGTAGGAACTGTCTATAGCTAAACAGTGATGGGACTAATATTGTTGTAGAGATTAACTAGAGCTGCAGGAGGGTTTGCTCCACGTTCTTGCTCCCTCCTACCTCTCCAACCTCCTAACCCCCTACCATTCTGTTTGCTCCCTCCACTTGGCGGGCTCCGGCCTACTTCTTGCCCCCTCCCTTGCCACCTTCAAGATTCATCTCAAAACCCTCCTCTTCGACTGTGCTTTCGATCTCCCTACTTCCTCCCCTGCCCTCCACCCTCCCCCACCCTGACCACCAGTTCGAGTCCCTAACTCTGTCTGTCCAGCGCCTTGGGACATCCTCCCGACGTGAAAGGCGCTATCCAAATGTAATTTTTTTATTGTTGTTTAAGCTAATATAGCAGGAGAGGGGGGAAATAAGAGAAAACAGGTGGCAGCTTGAAACCAGATATTGTTGAAGGAGAAATAAGCATTGCCCATAAAATATACAGTTTCACCGAATGAGAGAATGAGAAATCATCCAATCTCCAAAATTAATGTATCGTCAAAGCCTTTCGATGGTTACTAATATCCAAAGATTTTAAAATTTTCACTTTGGCTTTTTTGCTTAAATTGAAGAATATTACTTACCTTGTGTTTTTCTTTTACTTTTTTCCTGTAAGCTTCTTTGTCATATTTGTCCTCCTCGCGCAGTCTCTCGATTGCTTTTTCCACGTTTAGTCCTCCCGAGTCATCATCCTGGTCATCATTCGTTTTGCTTTTCTGTACTGGTGGCCACAGCTGAACCATCTTGAGGATTTAAGAGGTCGTCAAATGTTAAAAGGTGGAAAAAAACAGTATTATTGAACCATTAATTGATATTATATTGAATCAAAACCTCTTACAGTGAAGAGCCACATTGGTAGGAAGTATTTACTTAAAAGCCATGTTCATACTATACATGAATGATATATGGGTGATGAGAAATCTAGGCAGTAAGTAGGTTGACAATACAATATTGTTATATATAACACAGGTCAACCACCACATTTAAAAGGGGCCTGGATAAATATTGTGCATTATGAGTTATACTTCAATCCATGACTGTTTGTGGGACACTGCTGTGCGCAATTGGCTGCCGTGTTTCGCCCATAAATACAGTCAATTCACTTTAGAGTATATTCTGTAAAGCGCTTGGAGATGGCTAGAAGACTTGAAAACGCTGTATCAAACGCAAGGATTATTATCATCATTATTACTGTTTTATAGTATATTATACTATACAGTTTATTGTACTGAGAGTTCTTGGCCCACCCTACCTCTGCAGCCTTCTAAAACCTTACCAGCCTGCTTCACAAGCCAAATTATGAGGATAGGCTGCATACACTTGGTCTGTATTCCCAAGTTTAGAAGGTTGAGGGGTGATCTAAAAGGTTTTTAAAATAATAAGGGGTACAATAGGGTAGAAACAGAGAAACTATTTCTTCTGATGGGGAATCCAAAACAAGGGCATAATCTTAAAATTACCCAAAGGATAGTGGAAATCTGAGCTCTCTCTCCCAAAAGGTTATGGATGCTGCATTCATTCATATTTTCAAGACCGAGGTGGATAGATGATTTTAGAAGGAACAGCCTTGATCTTGTGATAAGATAAATGCCCTTTTGCACATCCATTCTGACTTATGTGTTTAAAATTTTAAAAATACATTTTTATAACATAACCAATGAATATCCTCAGAAAAGGGAGGCTCCAAATTCATTTGGTAATTGGAAGAATTCCCATTTCGCAAGATTTTGATATAGTTAAGGTTTCTACAAAATTTGTACTGCAATATCATCAGCATATGCAACACTACCCAAGGACTGTTTCCTTTCTTATATCTTACTTATCTAGTATTTCAATTGAATTTATTTGAGTTGGAATAAGATGATACAAAATGCATTTGACAAAAATTGTCACACGTTTGATTGGCATGGATAAAATCTATGCAAGTATCTACAGATCTAGATTTTCTCCTTTCAAACTCACCTTTCCAGCTTCATCAAAAGTGACTTTTGTATTCACTATTAACTTTTTCCTTAAGATCTTCTTTGCTTCCTTGATTTTTGGATTTTTGGGAACAGGTTTTGTTTTTGCTTTCTGCATTTCTTCTTTTTCACATTCCTGTGAACAATTAAGCACAATGAGATTTTAATAATAATACAGTTAATAATAATAATCCAGTTAATAATATGGTGCTTCTCATGTCGGGATGATGTCTCACAGCACTTCACAGGATATACTGTGAAGTGTAGTGACTGTGTGTTTGAGCAAACGCGCTTTGCTTTGTGGAATCAAACCCTGCCTGGATTAGGCTCAATGCTCCCAACAACAACAACTTGGATTTATATAGCGCCCCCCCACGCCGGACAGCGTCTCAGAGCGCTTTACAGTAATGGATCCCAGGACTGAGCCAGTCCCAATCTGACAACAACAAGATTACATTTGTATAGCACATTTCACATCGGGAGGACGTCCCAAGATGCTGGACAGCGTTCAGCATTTCAGACCCGAGTTGGGATCAGGGCAGGAGAAGGAGGGGAAGGGGGGTGGCCGATGGTGCGGTCGAAGGGGAGGGTTTTGAGGCGGTACTTGAAGGAGGCTAAGGAGGGGGCGAGGCGGACTGATTGGGAGATGGAATTCCAGAGGTTGGGGACAGAGTGGCTGAAGGCTCTCTCGCCAATGGTGGGGCGGGTGGGTCGGGGGTGGAGCAGGCCAGAGCCGGCTGAGCAGAAGGAGCGGGCGGGTGGTAGGGGGTTAGGAGGTCGCAGAGATAGGATGGGGCGAGGCCATGTAGGGCTTTGTAGGTGAGGACCAGGATCTTGAACTGGATCCTCTGAAGGATAGGGAACCAATGGAGTCGGGCGAGAATGGGGGAGATGGGACACATGCTTTATAAATGTAAACTGAATTCTAATGCGAACTATGGTAACACGCCAATTTATATTTTGCCAGAAGGATGCCTCGAAGAGCTTTATATAGCTGACTGGGGGCCTAAGCATGGCAAAAAGCTCTGTGTGTATTGGGGGTGGGGGGGGGGGGTGAGTGACCGAAGGCTCAGTAGAAAATAGTCTTAAGGTGGGTTTTGAAGAAGGGGACTTGAGTTTCAGAGAAGGGCAGCAGAGTGGCTAAAGGCTCGTCCATATATGGTGAGGAAGAAAACATGAAGGAGACCAGAGTTTTCTGAGTGGAGGGAGTGGCCAGGGGAGTACAAACATGGCCAGGGAAGTAAGAACATGCTAGGTAATGCGGAGCGAGATCATGGTAGCATTTGAAAGTGATAATGGGAATCTTTAATTTGATCGCATGGGGTTTGGGGTGCACATTAAAGTTAAATGGCAATCGTAACATTGGGGTTATAAACCACAGCAAAAATCACCTCTAGACATAAGATGCATAAGAAAAACCTCATGTACTTCACCCTAGCCCTAAGAATTCTATTGTAAGGGTATCTCCGATTGGTGCAGTGATGATCTCATGAGTCGGCGTGAGGGGCATGGGGTTCCAACATTTTCACTGTAGTTTTTCCTATTCAGCTGCCTCGATTCTATTATTTCTTTCAGATCATATTGTGAAAAATACATGTGCATTGCTGCACTGTGTCCTAAATACAAAATTCACTGAAGATCTATGAAGATTTATCATCACATTTCTCTCTGACATCTAATTTTCCCTTCCTCTAACAATCAAAGTGCTTTCAAACCCTGAACCTGGTGTCACAAAAGTGCTACTTCTTGATTTATCTCACTCCTTTCTAATTCTTTTCAACTCTGGTGATATTCAGCACTGTAGTTTATAGCTCTTCACATAAGTTTTTCAATAAGGAAAAAAAGACTTTTTCTGCCCTTTTCATACCTAGTTTCATACGACAGTATTTGAATAACAGGTTATTAATTAGAAATCTCAGAAAAGTTAAAAAAACTACATAATCTAAAATTAATGTTTTGGTCTACACAAAGTAAATAGCTGCATCTCCAATTTAGGATTAAACTGTTAGATAATTATGATGGCATCAACACAATAACAGATAACCATCTTGAATGTCATGGGAACAATACTTGCAAAAAAAATTCATGCAAAATAATGCTAAATTTAGCATATAGTAGTGAACCAAATACAAACCAAAGTTTGCTCAAGCTTGAGTCAATTTTACAATTAGTGAGACAAACAATGCAACTTAAACAAAGCAGAGCTACTAAAATGTCTACATACATAAATGGTACATCCGGTACTAGTGAATCAAATTTAACCTTCCCCAAAATTCAATTAGTATTTGTAAAATTTTGAGATCTAGTTAGTGATCAGAAGACAACTAGCAATCTTTCATATGGTATGGTTGCGGTATGTTATAGTACTCTCTTAGAGTACAAGGAAATATACTGGAAGCATAGGCTCTTGAATAAACTATTCAGATTTGCAATTCGGTTCACATTAAAATGCAATTATTAATGCATCACACATTCCGTAGACAGACGCAGTCTGAGCCAACAGAGACAGATTAGTGCAAAATCCCACAAACTGTATTAGCTTTACCCAAACAGATTATTTTTTAATTAGTCAAATGGCTGAATGTAAACTCCCATATCATACCGTAGCAATGACAAGGACCACTGAGATCTTGCCTCTTATTTTAAAAAAATGTAATTCTTAAACGTAATCCAGTTACTTATCCGATGGGACATTCCCATTGTTCTCCCCTGAAGAATAAATCAGATATTGCACAAAGGGCATCTTTCTTTCTCTTCTATTAGTGATGGGGATTTTACAAGACTCCCTTCGTACCCTTCAATTATATCCTACTCTTCAGTCCTTTATAAATAATTCTGCTTTTGACCGCAAACTTTTTTACAGAAGCTGGTTCCATTCCGAAGAGGTATGGGTGATTGACCTCAATGTACAGATGACTGAAGAAAATTGGTATGCTATCTTGATGTCTGACAATTCTATTTATGCAGATCGCAGGGAAGGCCTGATATATGGCGCAGCACTGCACAATTGTGAATCAGAGGCTCCAAGCTCTCTGTTGTGCATGTATTCAAAATGTTGGTGGGGGTGGAGGCAGGTGTCTTGTAACCTTATAAAATTAAACGTATTGCTTGTATTACAAAAGCACCCAATCCTCCACAATGCATAAAGGAACTCAGGAAAAAAAAGACTGCAGTGCTTTTCCATCTAGGTTACATAACTAACTACCTCTTTCACAATTTATCAATTCACTCTGCTATGAGGACTCCCATTGTAGAAAATCCATTGTAAAAAAAGAATCTTAGCATTTAACATAGATAGCACTTTTCACATCAGGACATCATAAAGCGCTTCCCAGGATTTTTACAGTGAAGTATCACAACTTTATTGTATGAGACATAAGGACAACACTACCAAAATAGTGTTGTCCTTATGTCTAGCTGTTCAAAGAAAAACTAGCCGTAGCAATCTGCCAGGAGATTCATATGCCTCTCAGTGAGACTATTTCTCCCTGCCCCCAAAACCGCGTCTGATATACAGCTATCCTGCTAGATTATCTTGGCTGTGAAGACTGTATTTCCCCCTCGCCCTTTATAATGGATTTGATGGCAGCATTTTCACTTGTTGGTTGTAAAAAAAAATTATATGTACTTGCTTATGGTGTTGTCGTTTCATAAACCATTAAAATAATTTATTACTCATTTATTAATCATAATTTTAAGAAAAGTAAATGTCTGCTTATTGCCTCCTACGGGAGAATAATGTTGACCATTGAATTCAAAATTAATCAGTGAGGCACCAGCATTTTAACCAAGTATAATGTAGTCTAATAATGCCAACAGAGATTAGTATCTAGGAAATGCATAGTCAAGTCATTCATCAATGTGCTAATTGGGGTCTTATCCCAAACGTTAACCTGGTTTTCTATTTAATATCTAATTGCTAGCTTTTGCAATTTAATTGTATTCCTACATTGAGGAACTCCAAACTACTGGAGAATAGTGTTGAAGCAAATGTATGCCAAAAAACTGCAATACAGAGTAGGTTATCCAGTAAACTAGTAAGAAACATTTGCCTCAGGAAAATAAAACAATTGATTGTTAAAAAAAATTTGGTTGCTCTTCAAGTTAGTCATATCAGCGCTACAGAATGGAAAGCTTTGGAATGGAATGAGTATCAGCATTGAGAACTACCTGGTTAAATACAGCAAAAGGCGTGTACTGAGAAAAATCCTCTTTTCACTGCCCTAGCCTCATAAGTCCTGTAGCTCAGTGGTTAGAGCACTCGCTTTGCAAGCGAGAGACCTGAGTTCAATTCCAGGCAGGGTGAAACCTTGGGCAAGTTTCCTTACTCCACACGCCTAATAATCTCTCCAAAAACCCCAAACAATAATAAATTTGTCATTTTCAATTTACGACTGTTTGTGGGACATTGCTGTGCGCAATTGGCTGCCGCAGTCGCCCACAAATATACAGTCAATTCACTTTACAGTGTATTCTGTGAAGCGCTTTGGGACGTCCTCCTGACGTGAAAAGCGCTATATCAAATTCAAGGATTATTATTATTATTAGGACACTATTATTGTACCCATGAGATTTTTTCCCCCATTGCCAAATACTAGTCATCCATATGTCAGATCAGAATGAGATCAGCAATTTGTGGTAATTAAGAGCAGTTTTGTGTTGTAGCCCAAGCTTAAAGGGAACTGATTTGAAATGTTTATCTCAAAATGGCCAGAGCATGAAACATCTCAAATGCAAATACAAAGTGCAAACAGCTGGGCTAGATTCAAATCAAGAATCATGAGGAGAAATAAATTGCCAATCCACCAGGATCATGCAACGTCACGTTTGAAATCAAATTAATTTGCTAAACTATTAAAGTGTTTATCTTACATAACAAATGGATGCCTGATCTGTGATATTAGCTGATCTCAACCACAATGACAGTGGGTAAGCTAGTTTGCTCTAGCAGATTGCTTCAGGCTAAGGGAATAAGGAGGAGAAATGAAAGAAAAAAGATCACTCCAATAAGTATTCAGTGACATCTAGTTGCACATTGGTATCATAGTTTATTAAAACACTGGAAGACCTACTCAGGCTCAAATTTTAAGAGCCTCTTACGCAAGGTGTTGAAGAGCCACTTCTACATACATAGAA